GTGTGTGTATATATATATATATATATATATATATATATATATATATATATATATACAGTATATTAGTCACCTTGAAATTTTTAGAAAGAAGGTCCCTTGTAAATTGGGCTAAATAAATACCTGAGCCTTATAGAATGGGCCTAATTCACTCCCTTTCCCTCTCTCTGTAGGTATGGAGTCCGTATCAGCAGACAGATAGTGTTGGTGATCTGGAAGGCCTGGTGGAGGACAAGTCGCGCTCTCTCTACACTCATGAGGAATACATAAGCCTGGTCCTGAACAGCGGAAGTGGCCTGTCACATGATTACATCAGCCAATCAGTGCAGGAAGACCCCCGGATGATGGCTTTCTTCGACTCGCTGGTTCGCCGTGAGATTGAGGGGTGGAGCTCGGACTCGGACAGCGATTTGAGCGAGGGCGCCATTCTACAGTTGCACGCGAGAGCTCGACGGTCCACACGCGCCATGCAATCTATGCCACGATCTTCTGCCAATGTATCCGCCGCTCATCACAGCGACTCTGACCACTCCTCTTCATCCTCATTGGCTGGACCGGACGCCTCTGGGAGCGAGCGGACCGATCAGGATAGGAGCGGGTCGCAGAGGAGCCGGATGAGGCCACGTGCGTCTGCGTTTCTGCTAGACCTTGTGAACGAGGACTCCGATTCCACTGGGTTCTGGTTGGACCCAATTCCCCGTCCCAGATCTCCAAGTCCACGTGAGAACTCTAGCCTTTCTAGCCACGCCTCCTCAGCAGGCATGGCTTTGAGTTCTAGCTCCTCTCCCAGCTCATCTTCTAGCTCCTCCTCCAGCACAGATGGCGTCGATGAGGATCTGCGCAGGAGTAGGATGCGACAGCGCAACGCAGCCAGATGGAGACGCCACTTGAGCCTTTCAGGAAGAGACTCCACCCACAATCTTCACGGCGCAACAGATTCCTCCAACTATCCCAGCATTTCCATCCATAATCCATCATCACCCTCTTCATCCTCAGGCGACGAAGGTCGACCTTTTAGCAATCGTGGAAAAGAAAAACCAAGCGGACATGGCTCAAGTCCCACGCACTTATCTGACAGACAAATGCAGTCCAGATGTAGGCGCCGCTTCACTTCCTCTTTCTCAGGTGGTGACACCCTTGTGGAGAGGGCGAAATCTCGAGCGGGCTTTCTCGCAGAGTCTGGGGAGGAACCAGAGCGAGGGAGAACTAGCGGGGAAGAGTTAAGTGCTGTGGAGGAAATAAACATGACTCTCAGCAGTCGCACTACAGCGGCTGGGGTTAACGGACGTCCACATGCAGATGAGAACCATGCAGACTCTATACACCCAGAATGCTCTGGGACAGAAAAAGAACTCAATAAGAACTCTGGCGACTCCAGGACCCAGGGGGAACCCTCTGGAAGGGAGATCTCCAGTGTTGCTGGGAAACGGACTTGTTCGGACACAGGAGACGAGGAGGATTCTCCATCAGAGAAGAGGGCGAAAACCCTGTGATGTCACATCACAACTCACTGACTCGGAGTCAAACTTTTTTGAGCTGTTTATCTTTGGACACTTATGATTTATCTTTTTTTTTTAACCAACTTCTCTTTTTCTCTTTACATGCGTTCTGGGGTCACACCACAGTGATGACACTAAAAAAAAAGATATTAGTGATATTAATATGTTATTGCAAGAAAAAAATAACTGCAGTGCTTTTGGTTTCATAACATTTTAGTTCCATTGAACCTGTAACCTTTATGTTGGGGGCTCTGGTTTGCTTTTGGGCTGTGAGAAGAAAAAGCTTTTTTGAGCATACAAGGATGGCTGTTCCGAGTCTGTATCAGTGGAACAGGGGTGGGAAGGGGAGGGGGTGAAAAATAGTGTTTCCATGGTAACCTCATTGAGCAGCAGCTGTTTGAGTTCTGCATTAAAGTTCTGTTCCGGTGTTTCCATAGAAACCTTCTTGTTATGTCTCTTCTTCCTCATCGTCCACCATTCTAATCATCATCAAACAGGAAGTGGCCTGCTGTAATTTCTGGGTGGGTGTTCTAGGATATTTCGATGTGAGAATGCATCAGTATCTGCTCTCCATCTGTCTAATGGAGCGGCTTGAAGGGCCAAGTGAAAGATTAATGAGAGCATATATGATAATGTTGTAGGTCAGCACAGGGCTTGTTGTCTTAAACTCTTTCTCTACAGATGCTTGATTAATAGACTCTTGCAAATTCTACTAAATTGGGAGTTGAAACATCAATATTAAAGTGAGATTCAAAATTGTAGCGAGAGTTTATACTCAAACGACACAAAATTTACCAATAAGTCATTGCTCACTACCTCAGTACTGCACAAAGTTTGGCATCTGGTTTGACTAAACAAACTCAGCAATTTTTGCATTCAGCTTAATTAATCTCAGATGTAGTTATTGAGTACTGTATATAAAATTTGCAAAATATGCGACTTTGTTAACTGGCAAAAAATAGTGTGCAAATGGAAAGCTAACTAAATCACATTTATTTTCATATAGCCCTCAGTAGGTATGATTAATATTAGTGATTTATGTTTTTATTTATATTAATTTAAATATATGCAGTATTCTATCTATCTACCTATCTATCTGTCTGTCTGTCTGTCTGTCTGTCTGTCTGAAGTTTTGATTTGAAAGACGTTAATTCAGCAGGGATGCAGTAAATTGATAAAAAGTGACAAAAACTTTTTTGGTTAAATGCTGTTCTTTTGAACTTTCTATTCATAAATGAATCCTTAAAATGTTTCCACAGGATTATTCCTTGGTGAGGGTAGTGTGTGTGTGTGTGTGTGTGTGTGTATGCATGATGTCATCATTCTCAGCCCCTAATCTGTGACTCAGGTGTTGTCTGTTTGAAGACATTGCAGACCAATAAAAATGAACTAAGTATGTCAAATTAAGTGAAATCTTACAGACATCCGCTGATTGTTTTGCAAAGAGCAGTGAACCCTTTGTTGGATCCCTGTGAATCAAAATCCAGTTATTGAGTTTGACACAAAACAATTGCAGAACAGTTTCTGTGGCTGACGCTGAACAGATTCAACTGACGGCATTTAGAGAATTCACAGAATCACTGTAGTATTTGTTTAATGAAAGCCTGTGGATGAGGACCAGGTCTCCCTTTAGGAAATGAACTATAGCTTTTCCACTCCCCACATTGGCCACACGCACAAACACACACTGGCGGACATGCTCTTGCCTCGATGAACAGTTCTGGGCAGCCATAAATGGAATCATCTCTCTGTTGTTCAACGTGATAAGGAAACTCCACCCAGCGGTAAGAGCTGTACTGGAATCGCTGATTGACAGTTATTTGCTGATGTCATTCATGAGTACGGTCACTAAGACAGACCCTCAGTCTCATGTAGAAGTGTAATTTGTCCTCATATGACCCCGCCTTCAAAGTGAATCATCTCTAGATTTGTGTTCTGTTCCTCTAAATCCACAACACAGGCCAGTTTTACTCACCTGTGGAATCAAGGGTTCATGCATAGAAGGACTTTGCTTGAGATATTTCTGACCAGGGCCAGAAATCGACAAATGCACTCCACTGTGTTTTTTTTCATAAATATTGTTGTTAATTAGTACAGTTTTACTACGTTTAGCACCTCTGCTTGTAAAATGTTTCTTGTGCATATATTGTGTATTATTGACAGCTGCTTAAATGTAAAAGCTATAATTGTAAAAAAAAAAGTATTTTAAATAATTGTTTATTTGGAAGAAACACAAAACAATTGCAGAACAGTTTCTGTGGCTGACGCTGAACAGATTCAACTGACGGCATTTAGAGAATTCACAGAATCACTGTAGTATTTGTTTAATGAAAGCCTGTGGATGAGGACCAGGTCTCCCTTTAGGAAATGAACTATAGCTTTTCCACTCCCCACATTGGCCACACGCACGAACACACACTGGCGGACATGCTCTTGCCTCGATGAACAGTTCTGGGCAGCCATAAATAGAATCATCTCTCTGTTGTTCAACGTGATAAGGAAACTCCACCCAGCGGTAAGAGCTGTACTGGAATCGCTGATTGACAGTTATTTGGCTGATGTCATTCATGAGTACGGTCACTAAGACAGACCCTCAGTCTCATGTAGAAGTGTAATTTGTCCTCATATGACCCCGCCTTCAAAGTGAATCATCTCTAGATTTGTGTTCTGTTCCTCTAAATCCACAACACAGGCCAGTTTTACTCACCTGTGGAATCAAGGGTTCATGCATAGAAGGACTTTGCTTGAGATGTTTCTGACCAGGGCCAGAAATCGACAAATGCACTCCACTGTGTTTTTTTTCATAAATATGGTTGTTAATTAGTACAGTTTTACTACGTTTAGCACCTCTGCTTGTAAAATGTTTCTTGTGCATATATTGTGTATTATTGACAGCTGCTTAAATGTAAATTTAAATAATTGTTTATTTGGAAGAATATCACCATGTCTTTACGGTCAGAATACAGAAATAATAAAATATTACATTAAATAAAATTTAAAAAAATTTAAAAGATAAAAAATATATTGTCCTCATATGACCCCGCCTTCAAAGTGAATCATCTCTAGATTTGTGTTCTGTTCCTCTAAATCCACAACACAGGCCAGTTTTACTCACCTGTGGAATCAAGGGTTCATGCATAGAAGGACTTTGCTTGAGATGTTTCTGACCAGGGCCAGAAATCGACAAATGCACTCCACTGTGTTTTTTTTCATAAATATGGTTGTTAATTAGTACAGTTTTACTACGTTTAGCACCTCTGCTTGTAAAATGTTTCTTGTGCATATATTGTGTATTATTGACAGCTGCTTAAATGTAAATTTAAATAAATGTAAAAGCTATAATTGTAAAAAAAAAAGTATTTTAAATAATTGTTTATTTGGAAGAATATCACCATGTCTTTACGGTCAGAATACAGAAATAATAAAATATTACATTAAATAAAATTTAAAAAAATTTAAAAGATAAAAAATATAATAAAATCTAAAATAAAAAAAGCCTGACATTAATTGCAGTGACGATTTCTGACACTAGTCAGGGCAATAAATAGTCTTTCATCTTATGTGCTGTATGTGGAATTTATTAATTAATTTACATTAATTTATGCCAAAAACTGAATTCATTATTATTTTTGTTGTTGTTGTTGTTGATGATGTTTTAATTAATTTGTCATTCTAAAGAGCTACTGAAATGAAAATCCTTTTCTGTGTGTAAAAGACCATCTGCTCATGAGGCACATATGGAAATGATTAATTAATTTACAGTTCAATTCATTATTATATGAATAATAATAATAATAATAATTATTATTATTATTATTTAATTCATATGTAATGCTAAAGAAATACTAAAGTGAAAGTCTTTTGTGTGTGGGAGGGCTGAGGTGACAGAAGGATGATGATTTTTTTGCTCAGCTGTCAGCACCCAATTGTGTTTTAGCTTCTCTATCCTGTACCATTGTTAATCTTCTCAGTGTGTCTGAATCAGCTGTAACAAACTCTCTTATCAACATGAAATGAATGATGTGTACCCTCACGCCTTCTTAAAGTCCTTGTAATAACGAGGAGGTTGGTTATTTTTATATTTTTAAATCAAATAGGCTACTCTAAACAGATAATATTTCACAAGGTTTGCCTTCATCCGGGCAGCCAGCATCTTATCAGGAACATTGTGACAACAGCTCTAGATACTGTGGAGTTTCACACTCAAGGGGGGCAGGGGGTGTTAGTGCCAGTTTGTGCCGAATTATAGCCGGAATGCTTTCAAACTGCTCCAGAGATCATCCATGTGAACAGAATCACCCTCCATAACATGGTCTACCTGTTGTGCTTCATTAATGTTTGGAGACATGTCGGGAAACAATAAGAATAAGTTGTGTGCTTGTGTGAAAATAGAGATGAAGAAAATAGAAAGTTTGACTTTCTATTGTTTAACTGGGTGTGAGAGTCCGTGTGATCCATGTTGGGGCTGTGCATGGAAATGAGACATTCTGTTGTGAAATATCTTGCAATGTGTGCGTGTGTCTGGTGGATGGCATATCCATTACAATTTTGTCACAGGTTCTTTGAATTTAGGAGGCGGCCCAGTATAGTGGATTATACAGAGTTTGTTTTGTTCATTGAACAGGCGTCTCTTTGTGAAAAGTGTGACTGGATTTAGTAAAATCATTCAGTGACCTGTGGCTCCTGCCTGTCTGCACTGACAATACGCAGTTTTGTTGATATTGGGTTTGATAATGTCAATGGTTATGTAGATGTTTAGATGACATGGATCATTTGAATAATTCCTGAGTAGAGAAATAGCTGAATGTTGAGCTTGGCACAAATGCAAAAGGCCCAGTGTAAACATTTATCTGACTAATCCCAAAGCCAATCTTCATGATCTTTACAGAAAGCAGATTCGCTAGATCTTTAGCGTGCCAATGACTGCAATAAGACTATATATTTCAAAATGCCATTTAATGCTAAATGGGTGTCCAGACACTTTGAGATTTGAACCAATTACCATCTTTAGGTGTGTGACATGTTTTTAAATCTTTATTCTTGTGTCAAAGTGCTAGTCAGTAATTATTATTACAATTTAAAATAAATGCTTTCTTTTAAATATATTGTAAAATGTCATTCCCCCC